TTTTCCCCCACAGCCCGTGCTGGAGGTGATCTGCTCATGGATCCCACTCCTGATCCCATTCCCGATCCCGTTTTCCCCCACAGCCCGTGCCGGAGGTGATCTGCTCATGGATCCCATTCCCAATCCCATTCCTGATCCCATTTTCCCCCACAGCCCGTGCTGGAGGTGATCTGCTCGCGCATGCGCTACATCTCGTCGCAGATCGAGCGGCCGATCCGCATCGTGGCGCTGAGCTCCTCGCTGTCCAACGCCAAGGACGTGGCGCACTGGCTGGGCTGCAGCGCCACGGCCACCTTCAACTTCCACCCCAACGTGCGCCCCGTGCCCCTGGAGCTGCACATCCAGGTAGGGACGGGAACGGCCGCCATGCTTGGAAGAATTCCTTGGGATCGTTGGGAATCCTTGGCCGTGATCCCTTGGGATCCTTGATCATTCTTGGCCGTGATCCCTTGGGATTGTTGGTTGTTCTTGGCTGATTAATTCTTGGCCATGATCCTTTGGGGTCGTTGGTAATCCTTGGCCATGATCCATTGGGATTGTTGGGAATCCTTGGCCATGATCCATTGGGATTGTTGGTCATTCTTGGCTATGATCCATTGGGATCATTGGTAATTTTTGGCCATAATCCTTTGGGGTCATTGGGAATCCTTGGCCATGATCCCTTGGGATTGGGATTGGGATTGGCCATTGATCACCAATCCAAGGATCCACCGTTACCGTGCCGGAATGAAACAGATTTTCCAGCATTTCCCGCCGGTTTGGTGGGGAATCCTTTGGGATCCATCGGGATTTGGTGTTTTTGGCAGGGTTTCAACATCAGCCACACGCAGACGCGGCTGCTGTCCATGGCCAAGCCCGTCTACCACGCCGTGATGAAGCACTCGCCCAAAAAACCCGTCCTGGTCTTCGTCCCCTCCCGCAAGCAGACCCGGCTCACGGCCATCAACATCCTGACCACCTGCGCCTCCGACGTCCAGCGCCACAGGTGGCACCTGGGGACACCTGGGGCCACCACGGGATGGGCTGTGGGGCTGGAGAACGTCCAGGGATGGGGAGTTCCTGAGGGAGATGGGAATGGGGACACCTGGGGACATCCAGGGATGGGTTGTGGGGCTGGAGAACGTCCAGGGATGGGGAATTCTTGAGGGAGATGGGAATGGGGACACCTGGGGACATCCAGGAATGGGTTGTGGGGCTGGAGAACATCCAGGGATGGGGAGTTCCTGAGGGAGATGGGAATGGGGACACCTGGGGACATCCATGGATGGGCTGTGGGGCTGGAGAACGTCCAGGGATGGGTTGTGGGGCTGGAGAACGTCCAGGGATGGGGAGTTCCTGAGGGAGATGGGAATGGGGACACCTGGGGACATCCAGGAATGGGCTGTGGGGCTGGAGAACGTCCAGGGATGGGGAATTCCTGAGGGAGATGGGAATGAGGACACCTGGGGACATCATGGGATGGGTTGTGGAGTTGGAGAACATCCAGGGATGGGTTGTGGGGTTGGAGAACATCCAGGGATGGGTTATGAAGTGGAGATGGGGAATTCCTGAGGGAGCTGAGGGGACTTGGCATGGAGAAGAGGGAGATCATGGGATAGGATGGGATTGGGGTTGGGATCAGTGGGATTAAGGGAATGGGATCAAGGGGATGGGATGGGATGGGATGGGATGGGATGGGATTGATGAGATGGAATTGGGGTGGGATGGGGATTGGGATAGGATGGGATTGATGAGATGATGGGATTGGGATGGATGGGCTGGGATTGATGGGACAGGTGATCCCCAAGGCCTTTCCCAAGCTGACCACGTCCCGGACGCCCCGCCAGGTTCCTGCACTGCGCCGAGAAGGACCTGGTGCCCTACCTGGAGAAGCTGAGCGACCCCACGCTGAAGGAGACGCTGGTGAACGGCGTCGGGTACCTGCACGAGGGGCTGACGGCCATGGAGCGCCGCGTGGTGGAGCAGCTCTTCAGCTCCGGTGAGGGCGCGGTGGCATCGGGAGCGGGATGGGCTGGGATCCTGATCAGGATTGGGATTGGGATGGGATTAGGATGGTGGGACGGGGTGGAATATGGTGGGATGGATTGAGATAGGGGTTGGAGATGATGGGGTGGGCTGGATTTGGGGGTGGCACTGGAAATGCTCTTCAGAACCCAACCCAACCCAACCCACTCCACGCATCTCCACCTCCCACCCCCACAAATTCCGGGATGTTCCCCCGGCGCCGCCTCCGCGTGCCCGGAGCGCCGGGATCCCGTCCCCGCTGAGCCGGGGCCCTCCTGCCCGCAGGAGCCGTGCAGGTGATGGTGGCCTCACGCAGCCTCTGCTGGGGCATGAACATCTCGGCACACCTGGTGATCATCATGGACACGCAGTACTACAACGGCAAGATCCACGCGTGAGCCCGGGCCCCGGGATTGGAATTGGGATTGGGATGGGCTGGGATCGGGATGGGGACCGGGATTGGGGTGGGATTGGGATAGACAGGATGGGGTGGGATGGGATTTGGATTGATGGGATTGGGATGGATGGAATGGGGTGGGATGGGATGGAATTGCGATGGATGGGGTGGGATTGATGGGATGGGATGGAATCAAAGGAATCACAGGGATCAGTGCAATGGGATGGGATGAATGGGATTGGGGTTGGGGTTGGGATTGGGATGGGACGGGGACCCCTCCGGGCCTGCTGCTGACGCCGTGCCCGGGCAGGTACGTGGACTACCCCATCTACGACGTGCTGCAGATGGTCGGCCATGCCAACCGCCCGCTGCAGGACGACGAGGGGCGCTGCGTCATCATGTGCCAGGGCTCCAAGAAGGTGGGGCACCAACCCGCGGGCGCTCCCGGCATCTGGGCCGGGATTGGCCTCGTGGAGGGGTGGGATGGGATCCATGGGATGGGATGGACAGGATGGGATGGGATCAATGGGATCAATGGGATCAATGAGATCAATGGGCTGGGATGGAATGGCATCCATGGGATGGGGATTGGAATGCAATGGAATGGGATGGGTTCCATGGGATGGGGATGGGATGGGATGGGGTGGATGAGATGACATCCAAACCGTCACTCAGGGTTGGGATCACCCCAAGGACAACCCAAGCCTTCCCAGAGCACCGCACTGGGCGTTCCCACGGCATTTTTGGGATGAATTCTTGAATTCTTTCCCTTTTCCTGCCCGTCCCGCCTCAGGATTTCTTCAAGAAGTTCCTGTACGAGCCGCTGCCGGTGGAGTCACACCTGGACCACTGCATGCACGACCACTTCAACGCCGAGATCGTCACCAAGACCATCGAGAACAAGCAGGACGCCGTGGACTACCTGACCTGGACCTTCCTGTACCGCAGGATGACCCAGAACCCCAACTACTACAACCTGCAAGGTGGGAATGGGATCAGCCCTTGGGAATTCCTGGGGTGGTAACGGTGCTGGGAATCCTGTCCTCCCCTTATCCCATTACTCCATCCCGTTATTCCATTATCCCATATTCTCATTACGCCTTTACCCCATCCCGTGATCCCATTACCCCATTACATCCCACCCCATCCATCCCAATCCCATCATTCCCATCCCATTATCCCATGATCTCATGATCTCATGATCTCATTGCATCCCACCCCATCCATCCCAATCCCATCATTCCCATCCCATTATCCCATTATCCCATGATCTCATGATCTCATTGCATCCCACCCCATCCATCCCAGTGCCATGATCCCACCATTCCCATCCCATGATCCCATGATCCCATTACCCCATTACATCCCACCCCATCCATCCCAATCCCATCATTCCCATCCCATTATCTCATGATCTCATGATCTCATTGCATCCCACCCCATCCATCCCAGTGCCATGATCCCACCATTCCCATCCCATGATTCCACCATTCCCACCCCATCATTCCCATCCCACCATTCCCATCCCACAGTCCCATGATCCCACCATTCCCATCCCATGATTCCACCATTCCCACCCCATCATTCCCATTATCCCATGACTCCTCCATGTCCATCCCAGTCCCATGATCCCATTATCCCACCATTCCCACCACATCCATCCCAATCCCACCATCCCATGATCCCATCATTCCCATCCCCTGATGCCATGATCCCATAGCATCCCACCCCACCCCACCCACCCCATCCATCCCAATCCTGTCCCATGATCCCACCATCTCCACCCCATTATTCTCATCCCACGACCCCATGACCCCACCATGCCACCCTTCCCACCATGTTGCCGTTCCCACCGGCAGGCGTGTCCCACCGGCACCTGTCGGATCACCTGTCGGAGCTGGTGGAGCAGACCCTCAGCGACCTGGAGCAGTCCAAGTGCATCAGCATCGAGGACGAGATGGACGTGGCGCCGCTCAACCTGGGCATGATCGCCGCCTACTACTACATCAACTACACCACCATAGGTGCCCCAAAACCCAAAAAATCCATGGCGTTGGGGGTTTCAACCAAAAATATCCATGGGTTTGGGGGTTACCCTCAAAAAATCCATGGGGTTGGGGGTTTCAACCAAAAATATCCATGGGTTTGGGGGTTACCCTCAAAAAATCCATGGGGTTGGGGTTTTCAACCAAAAATATCCATGGGTTTGGGGGTTACCCTCAAAATATCCACGGGGTTGGGGTGTTATCCTAAAAAATCCATGGCATTGGGGTTTTCAGCCAAAAATATCCATGGGTTTATGGGTTTCAACCAAAAAAACCTATTGATATGGGGGTTTCAACCACAAAAATCCATGAGTTTGGGGGTTTAAACCAAAAAAATTCATAGGTTTTGGTGGTTTTCCCCAAAAAATTGCCATTTTGGGGTGTTGTCCCAAAAAGTTGATGGTTTTGGGGGTTTTCCTCAAAAAAATCAATGGGGTTGGGGGTTTTCCTCAAAAATTCCCTTTTTTGGGGTGTTGTCCCAAAAAATCCCTGGCTTTGTTAATTTTCCTTCCAGAAAATCCCTGGTTTTGGGTTTTCCCTCCAGAATTGCAAATTTTTTTTGTGTTTCTCCCCAAAATTCCCTGTTTTCATGTATTTTCTCCCTAAAATCCCCAATTTCTGTGTGTTTCCCCCCAGAACTGTTCAGCATGTCCCTCAACGCCAAGACCAAGGTGCGGGGGCTGCTGGAGATCATCTCCAACGCCGCCGAGTACGAGAACATCCCCATCCGGCACCACGAGGACAACCTGCTGCGCCAGGTCCGGGATCCATGGGATCAGTGGGATCCATGGGATGGGATCCATGGGATGGGATCTGTGGGATCCATGGGATGGGATCAGTGGGATCCATGAGATGGGATCCATGGGATGGGATCAGTGGGGTAGGATCAATAAGATCAATGGGATGGATTTGGAGTAGGATCAGTAGGATTGATGGGGTGGGATCAATATGAATGATAGAATGGGATCAGTAGGATCGGGATTGGGATGGGTGGGATGAGGATGGGATCAATGGGATGGAGTGGGATCCATGGCAAGGATGGAATGGGATCCATGGGATCAGGATTGGGATGGGGTGGGATGAGGATGGGATCAATGGGATGGGATGGGATCCATGGGATCAGGATTGGGATGGGGTGGGATGAGGATGGGATCAATGGGATGGGATGGGATGGGATCCATGGCAATGATGAAATGGGATCCATGGGATCGGGATGGGGTGG